ACCTTGGGCCAGCAGTTCGCGGTGAAGAACAAGACAAACAGGTTCAAGGATAACCGTATCGGTAAGCACCTGAGCGGTGACCAGCTGACCGAATCTGTGATGAACGCCCGTTACCTGGCCGAGAAGATGTCGCAGGTGAGACAGTCCCAGAAGGCGGAGACGTTCAATCTGAACGACGATGAGCTGCTGACGCACAGGGGCCAAACACTGGAGGAGATTGAGCAGTACAGAGACGAAAGATCCGACGACGAGGAGCTGGATGACGAGGGTCTGGATGGTGAGTATACGAAGTACATTTCTGCTGGACATTTATTTACCAGGATTTCCTTTTAGCTGATTTCACGTCTGCTGCCCACTTCGGAGGGGATGGAGACACTGTCCAGGACCGGCAGACTGCCATCGAGGAAATGATCGCCGAGCAAAAGCGTCGTAAAAACGAAATAGTCAAGGAAAAAGACGAGGTGTACGAGCTCACCGAAAAACTGGATGCCAATTATAAGCTATTACTGCCGCTGGTGGCCAAGGCCACCAAGGATGAGCAGGACGCCAAGCCGCCACCAGATGCCTACGACAGGTTGTTGAAGGAAATGATCTTCGAGCCTCGTGGCAGTGTTACGGACAAGCTGATCAATCCCGACGAGCTGGCCAAACAGGAGGCGGCCCGTTTGGAGAAGCTAGAAGCGGAGAGATTGCGGAGAATGCGCGCGGATGGCGAAGAGGAGGAGGAGGCTTCCATTAACCAGCCCAAGCATCGGTCAGCAGACGACCTGGATGACGGTTATGGCTACCTTGCCGGCGGGGATGATGAGGGCGATGATACCCTGGCGTATGATTTGGATGGAAATCTGGGCACCCACCTTAATGGCAAAAAGAATATTGCGGCAGAGCAGGAAAATGATGAGGAAAATGGCGAGGAAGAGAGCGATGGGGAGGAGGAAGAAGACTCCGATGATGGAAGCGATTCCGATGTGGATAATCTGAGCGATTTAAAGGAATCGGATAGTGAAAGTGAAGCTGAAGTTGAAAGCACCTTACAGTCGAGTAAAAAGAAACCTCAGAGGGAAAAACCGTCTGTCTCCATGGACACCAGCATACCCTTTACCATAAAGATGCCCAAAACCTACGAGGACTTCACGGCACTTCTCTCCAAACACGCTGTTCCCCAGCAGGCGACAATTGTGGAAAGGATTATCAAGTGCAATCATCCCAAGCTGGAAGGTGTGAACCGCGAGAATGTGGTCAAGTTGTACTCTTTCCTGCTGCAGTACCTCAAGGATTTGTTTGAAGATGCCAGTGATCAGGACATCCGCGGGCATTTCCAGCTGCTCTCCCAGCTTATGCCGCACTTGTATGACTTGACTCAATTGAATCCGGAACGGATGTCCAATACCTTGCTAGAGGTTATCAAGGAAAAGTACGGGGAGTTCAGAAAGAACCACAAGACATATCCGTCACTGGACACTCTAGTTTACTTTAAGCTCGTGGCCAATCTGTACTCCACCTCGGACTTCCGCCACCCGGTGGTCACACCCTGCTTTATTTTCATGCAACACATCCTCTCAAGGGCGCGCGTTCGCACGCGCCAGGAGATATCCATGGGGCTGTTCCTGGTCTCCGTGGTCTTGGAGTTCGTTTCCCAATCCAAGAGACTGCTCCCAGCCGTGTTTAACTTCCTGCAAGGTATTCTGCACATGTCCATACCAAAACGGGACGTTCAGCAGCTGGAGATCACAGCGCCGTTCGAGCGGGATGGCCCTTTGAGCAAACTTCTAACCCTTCCAGCCAACAGCAAGGAATGTAAGGATTTGGAAAGCCAACCGCTGCAGTCTGTGGATCTGGTGACCCAAACAATCACTCCGGATTTCAAGGTGCGAGCTTTGGATGCAACACTCCTGCTGATCAAGGAAGCCCTCCAGTTGGTCGAGGAACATGTAGGTGCCTGTTATCTGGCCAAACCCTTCCTTAGATTGCTCGTCCGCCTGCCACTCGATTCCTATCCCGAGCATGTCCAGCTCCACCACAAGGAAGCCACTCAACTGGCCGAAAAGCTGGCTAAGCAGAAAATGAAGCGTTTGGCTCCAGCGGAAAGGAAGCCGAAGGCTTTGCGGCTGCTAGAACCTCGTTTCGAGGCGGTGTACGATGATAAGCGACGGCCCAAGATGTCCAAGGCCAAGGAGGAGCGGGCCAAGTTGCTGCACAAGATCAAGCGCGAGAAGAAGGGCGCCATTCGAGAGATCCGGAGGGACACGGCCTTTGTCCAGGAGCTCAAACTCAAGCAGACACTGCAAAGGTAGGTTTTGTCATAAGAAAACTATACATTTTGTGTATTCCAATTAAAAATAATTCTATATTTCTCAATTTACAGCGACAAGGAGCGCCACGAGAAGGTCAAACGCATCTACCAGGAGGCCTCTGTGCAGCAGGGCGAGCTCAACGAGCTGGCTCGCTCCAAGAAGAAAAAGAAGTTCTAGTTGTTCTCTCGTTCCAGTTAGGCTGATTTCGATGTAGTTATTAGCTAGGCTAGTCACTAAGCTTCTGAAAGTAAAGAGCAGCGCTGTGCTGCCTTGTTTTTAATATCGCAACATCGACCTTCATATTACTGCGAATCATAATAACCCAGATTATGGCATCAACAACGGGGTTAATCTCAGATGAACGATTGAAAACCATATATACAAACCGGTGATTTGAAGATTGTTTATAATTAGAAATTAAGGAAAACAAACTGTGCAGTTCTGCCTTTAATTTTTCTTTCTAATATTAATTTATTATAAAAATCGGCCCACCCTAGTGTACATAAAGTCTACGCCGTCTTGCCCGAGATCTGCCGGCATCGTAGCGTCGCCTGCTCCACCGCACCAGCCACCGCAGCTCGAAAACCTACAATCAAAATCAAAGGTTGAATTTGAGGCGATAAGAGTGCGTCATCCGCGTCATTAATCCAATTTACCTGACAGTTCCAGTTGTCTGAGAGCTGCTGCCGTCGAACCCGCGGGACTTGTGACGCCGTCTTTGAGTTGTCCGGGATGCATTCCGCTATCTCGCACCATATGACCTGCGCCGAGGACCGTTTGGGAGGCTAGCCGGTAAGCCAGATCCCTGGGCATCCCCATATGGACGGCTCCATCTGCTAACGCCTCAATCATCACGAAAACATAGGCCGGTCCACTGCCACTGAGAGCGGTAACCACATCCAGTTGGGACTCATCGACCATCTCACAGGTTCCCACGGATTGCAGGAGTCTCTGAGTGACCTCTGCATCTGCATCGGTTGCTTTGGATCCCCGAACATAAACCGAACAGCCTGAACAGACCACGGCTGGAAGATTGGGCATCACGCGGATGACTCGAGCTTGGTGAGACAGACTGGCTTCGATGGTGGGCAGGGTAATGCCCATGGCGATGGACAGGAAGAGTTTGTTGGAGCTGATGGGCTGAATCTCGGCCAAAACCGTGGGCACCACTTGTGGCTTCACGGACACAAAGACTACTTCGGACCGTTCCACAACTGGGTCGTTTTGAGTCACTGTCTCAACTCCCAGCGACTGGAAAGACTGCAGGGAGAGCTTATCCGCCGGATGAACACTGGCAATCAGTGTGCTGGGCTTGGCCAAACCTAAAAAGAATCAAGAAAATGTAAAAAATCTATGCTATGGTGAAATTTTAAGAACAGGAGAGAGGGTTTATGGGGTTAATGGACTGGACTCACCTGCTGCCAGGAAACCCTTGGCCAAAGCCTTGGCCATATTGCCACCACCCAGGAAACCGATCTTTCCTATCGCTGTCATTTTGGCTTTCTAGGAGTAGTAGAGCGAACTGAGGACTGCACTTTGTGCTGGCGGAACGGCAACTGTTTGCCGAGTGCTGTTGGCGTTGACCAAAAACAACCCGAGTGGGCTGATAAGAAATCTGGCTGGGTCCGCTCCCCCACCCACCCCCTGCGATGTGCGAACAACATGCCCAGTGATCGCCCCTTATCAGGGGGAGTTCCTGTGTGTTGGTTTAAGGCACAGTCGCGGTCAATGTATCTATTTAATTGTTTAAACATGTTATTTATAAATTTATAAACATGTAGAATATAAATTGCTAGAACAAGCTTATACTTAACAGCACATTTTCATTGTTAATTTACTAATAGATGTGAAAAAGTTCACAGTTGGTTAAAGCAAGCGCTAATTTTATGACTACAGTTGTAAACCCTTTTTATCAGCAAAAACAGCCTATGTATAGTTCTATGAACTGGAATTCATTCACCCATTAGAAGGCATGACAAAGGCCTAATTTATTCCAGATGCCCTGTAATCCCTGTAATCGTCCATTGGCTTCATTCTGACGTTTAATCGAGTTCCATTAGGGTATAAACAAAGAGCAAGTCCCTCCAGCGCAATAATGTTTACCAAGATCCGAAAACATTCCCCACCTTGAAAGATAACGTTGGGTATCAGCTCAATGTGATAACAGAAACGAGTGTTTGAAAAGTGTGAAAATACTCTATATAAAAACACAAATTATGTACTTGAATGTTTCTCAACTTTTGTGTGTTGTTTAGATACCTATTATTATATAAGGGGGACCCATAAATATTTATAATACAACTAAGAATATAAGAACATTTTTGAATTCTTTAAATTTGGTTAAATTTACCATAAATTATATATCTATATAAATACCATACGATCATAAAATATATTTTAAATTTAAATAGGAAGCCTTTCTTAATTTCAGAAATAGCTACCCCGCAAGGACAATCTATTAAAATCTCCAAAGCATATTAAAGTTGGAAACGGGTTGATTCAAAGACCGATAATGGAATGGAACCATATTATAATATTTGATTTTTTTGTTTTATCCAAAATTTCCCTCTTTTATCTCAGTTCAAAATTTAAATAAATTTTAAACTCTAACGGTGATTGACCGGAAACTAAGGAATCGATTTTGAAATCGATTTGTCTAACAGCTTTATCGTAGCAGTGTGGCCGTAGCATAATTGTAGAAACGCCGAATTCTTTACTGTCTGCCTACGGTCACACTGCTGCTCTAGAACGAAATCGGGAGAAATTTTTATCAAATTGCAATTTTACGCCCCACACCGCCTGAAACCCGCCCACGTCGTGTTCTTATACAATTAAAGACAGCCGCCAGCAGAGGATTACTCCCGTAGTTGTACCAGATTCCAGCCCTAATTAGCTGTCTCAACGAAAGTTGTGCGTGTGTGCTGGCTTGTCAGGGTGTGCAAGTGTGCGTGCGTTGTTTTCACACACAAAATTCGCTGCAATTTACAAAATTAACAACAAAAGCGCAGTAACAGCGACGAGAACAGCAACAACAACAACGCCAACAATAGGAAACGAAACGCATTTGCGAGGCTGATTGTTTAAACAAGGTATAAACAAAAGTATTAGTATTAGAGGGGAAATCGCATGCCAGGCATACGGACAACTGGTAAACAAACCGAAAGGCCATCGGCAGTCCCGAAATTCTAAAAGCGGAGGAGGGTAAGTGTTGCCCGATGGAATAATAGATAGCGACTGTCATTTAATTGATTTGCAAATTACTTTCAGGGCCACGTCGCTATCCCTTATCAACGGCGGCAGTGCACTGCGAGAAACACGTCAGTTGTGCTTCATACATTTCTCAAAATTTTCACCGTGTCGTTGTTTTTACTTATTGTGTCTAAAGAAATATAGACAGAATAATGTCCTCCTCGTCGGCTTCCGGCGGTCGCAAGCAGCCCACGGCCGTCTCGCGCATGAAGCAGGACTACATGCGTCTTAAGAGGGACCCGCTACCTTATATCACAGCGGAGCCGCTGCCCAACAATATCCTCGAGTGGCACTACTGCGTCAAGGGGCCGGAGGATTCGCCCTACTACGGCGGCTACTATCACGGCACTCTGCTCTTCCCGCGTGAGTTCCCCTTCAAGCCGCCATCCATCTACATGCTGACGCCGAACGGACGCTTCAAGACCAACACGAGGCTTTGTCTGAGCATATCAGGTAAGATAGAAGCGTCTGTTAGGAAAAGCTTTTACATTTTTAGAAATCGTGTCAGAGGCATTTGGAAGTATGCAGACTGAATACAATATAATTCAATTAGGCTTGTGAGATATTAAGGTTAGGGTATTCCAAGACTTCATAGTAAGCTACATGCCGTGTCTGAGCATATCAAAGAATCGCCTCCTCTTCAATTTTCATGCCACAAATTCAACAAATAACTCAAAAATTAAGTTTTAGATTTAAAAAAACTAACAATAATCGAACATTTTTATCCTATCCCTGTCATATAACAATTTTACTAATGTAAACCACTATCTTTAGGTTGCTCTTTCATCCTTATCAGATTTTATTATTTTGCTTGAAATTATAATACCTATACTGTATCGATATTTGCTGCGAAAGTCGATATATATCAATAATTTAATGTTATGTGAAAGCGATAAATCGATAAATCTTTTTGAGCAATATAATTGGAATGGAAATAGGAAATAAATTAAATAACATGCCTCGCATTAATTTCTTAATAATATCAATATTTAAAAGCTCTTCCGGTTACAAAAGTTTTTGAGATATGAAAGTTTAAGAGATATTTCTTGTCTTATCTTTTATATTCAAGAAAAGGCGTTTAAAAATTGTATTATCACTTTGTTCTGTGATTATATATCGCTATCTGGCTTGTAATCTTATTGAAGAATGTTGCAATCTTAGTTTTTGCCTATTTCATGTTAAAAATCTGAAGTAAAAATGATTTAAAATATTTGTATTTAAATGTTTTGTGTTTTATCTTTTCAGACTTTCATCCAGACACTTGGAACCCGACTTGGTGTGTGGGGACCATACTCACAGGCCTGCTAAGCTTCATGGTAAGAATATATCAAGTGCCCTGAAATATAAATAACTAATAAAAACTATTTTCTAGCTGGAAAGTACACCCACGCTGGGATCCATCGAGTCGTCGAACTATGATAAGCAAATGTTTGCTCAAAAATCCTTAGCATTTAACCTGCGCAACACAAATTTCTGTGAGCTGTTTCCCGAAATGGTCAATGAGATCAAGCTGCGACTGCAGGGCACTCAGGCGGCGGCAGCTGCAGTGGCGGGGGCCACTGCGTCCACTTCCAGTGGTGCGAAACGTGCCAATGGCCTGGCCAATGGCGATGCCCTGGGAGCTGCCGATGCTAATCTGGCGGCGGGTGGTGCTGGTGTTGGTGGCGGTCATCCTCAAAATGGCGCGGACGGCATCGATGGTGGGGGAGCGGGGCAGATGGATCTGGCCAACGGCGGTGGAGCGGCGGCGCTACAGAACAGTGCTCGCAATTCGTATATGAATTGGCAGTCCGTGTATTCCAACCTGGTGATCATCATCTGCTTTGCGATATTTGCCCTCATTGTTAATTACGTGATCAAAAACCTGAATCAGGAATAGAACTAACTTTACGACACAGCCTCTATATTTATATATGAATGTACACATCTGTGTGCGTGTGCATATTTAATCTAGTTTACTCTAAAGTAGCCTTCGTGGATTCAGTACCGCTTGAGAAGTATTTACAGACCCGCTTGGCCCCAGCCTCCGCAGCCGCCACCCGTCATCCCGCCATCCATTCCCCGACCTAAGTTCCCACGATCGCTAATTAGTTGGAAAATATTGGCAATCACAAAAACTAGAAACACAAATACACACAACCGCACACCCACACACAAACATACACTCAATTATAAACACAATTTGTGAAACCTATAAATTGTTTTGTTATGTATTCATTACTATAAAAGTCTAGTTTAATGCAGCGTGAATGAAGCCAGGAATATGTTTGTAAATGAATAAAAAAGAAAATACGGCAACAGTAAGCTCGTGTACAAATTAGCCAACTCATTTATGTCAGATTCCTGCTTATAAAATGGATCTTCACTTTCAGCGACGTTAAAATGCCTGATGTTGATTCAACTTATATAGTAAGTTGTAATTTGTAGTTGGCTTTGCGCTGGCTAAGCGGCTTAAGTGTGAAGCAAAGTCCACTGGCAGTCGACTATAATTTTCCCCTCATGTCTGGCAGTGTGGGTAAATCCAATAAACTGGAGCCGGTCCGACAATGTTTCACATTTAAACCGCTTAACACGGCCAGAAGTCTCTTTTGCGGCTACTTTGTTGGTCATCTTAAGGGGGTCTTCTCATTGGGCAACTTTTTTTTTTCGATTTTTTTTTTTTGCATTTATTTATAGCTTGGGATGGTGTGTATATGTCCCCAAAAGGATTTTTGGAAATTCGAAATACTTTAGAAGATATAGCCTTTTTTGTGAAGCAAGATCTATGCAAAATGAGCTTTTTTCAAACTTCAAACGCGTTTATCTCGAAACCACGTTTTTCGAACTGGCGGCCATGATATCTCCAGTTCAACTGAACCGATTTTCATGAAACAAAGTGGAATCGACGCAGAATTGTCACCATTTTCGGCTGACGGAACAGATTTTTTTAAAATTTTTTTTCTATTTTTTTTTTTACACTAAACTACAAAAAAAACGCCCGAAATCGAATTTTTTTTTTTGAATGGCCGCCATTTTGTTTTAAAAATTTTTTAAAAAAATCTGTTCCGTCAGCCGAAAATGACATCTATTCTGATTATAACCCCGTTTTTATTTTTCATTTCGGACGCTCTGGAGACACTGAATCGTGGCCGCCAGGACGACACCTTTTTTTCGACCACCAAGTTTGAAGTCTCATTACTCTTTGAACAACCCTCGTATCGAGGCAAGAACAACTTTTTTAGGTACTTTGAACATTTTTGAATACAATAAATAAAAAAAGTTTTCAATTATTCTTTGCGTTTTCAAATAAGAATTTTTTTAAAAAGGGTCCAAAAAACGGCTTTTGAATGAGAAGACCCCCTTAAGCCAAAATTACACACATGACGCTTATTACTGGTGGGTACTGGGCTGGGGGTGGCGCGAACTTTGTGAGTTTAAGCGATTTATGGCGCCCATAATAACAGGAAGATATATGTGCTTGCACTGCAGGCTGAATACAAGATACTTCTAAAAGGATTTTTCTCATTTTAGTATTACAAAATGAAGTCTTGAAATTTTGAAAAAATTACTCTGCAGACTAAAGCATATTAGACATAATTTTCTATATTCTTTGGGTATTAAAGAAGCTAATATAATTATTTACATTTAAGGAAGAGATAGTGTTTGCAAATCTTCTTAAATACAGAAAATCAAGTACCAAAAATCTTCAATTAAAAAGATTCACGCCTGAATTTCCTTCTGAATATAAAAATCTAAATTGTATTTCAATTATTAACGTATACATAAAGTGCATTGGCTTAGACTGGTTGAAAAGACTTCCTGCTTACTCAGCAGACGCTAAAACTTCTTGAAATAAACGCATAAAGGATAGACTTCATTTTGTGATGAAAGTTTTTTTTTTGCCAGACGCCGAAGTTGATAATTTAACTAACGTAAATTTCAAGTTCAGGCAGCATGGCAAAGTTTCCCGAGTGCGGCTGGCACTTGCAACTTTTCAAATTTCGTTGTTTGTTTTATGAACTTGCAACAGTTTAAGCCAATTTCGGTTGCACAGAAGAACAAAAAGGAAATACTAAAAAAACACCAGCAGACACAACACTAAATGATATCCCGGATGCCGGGGAGAAGAGCACACAGACCCCGTAACCGAGACTTTTCTGGCCCTGTCATCAAGTATTTTTATGGGGAGTGACGATGGGCGGGGATTTCGAAATATGATTCCAGTAGTTGGGGTACTCTCCTCTGAGCTTTTTGCCCAAAATGTATTTTGAGTGCCCCCCAAGATGGCGGCGACTAGCACTGGACTCCAAGTCCATCCAAGTTGTCTCCAGCATTTCCGCTTTATCCTCTTCAATTCTCGGTCGGATGTGCAATTTTTGCTCATTTGTTCTTGGCATTTATAAGCTGCTGCTGCCCCGAAAAAGAGGTCAGTGGCGTTGAAATCCGTTGAGTTCATTGTTCGACCGGCCACAGGATAGAATACGAGTCCCCGAATGTGGTCAGTAGTGGCGGGACCAGGCTTAAATGCCCAACAAATGGGCACAAGACATTAGTTGGCGGCAATAAATGTCGATGCTCCCGGGCTAAGCCGCTTAGCCAGGGAAATATGCGCGACTAAACCCACCGAAACAAAATACAAATGGAGTGGTCAGTGTCTCTTGGATGGGCTACGAAGTCCAAGGAAGTCCGCCAGAGGCGGTCTGAGCCATAAAAATAATGGCAAAAACAAAGGCGAGTGCCCACGGCCAAGGCGGTCGGGCAGATAAATAAATATAAATAAATAAAAATAACAAATGCAATAATCATTAAGTTCGCCTCATTGGTGGGCATGTGCGCCCCAAGTCCGATGGCCATCTGGAGCTGGCTTCATGTCCTGGATCCTGCACAGCAAGAAAAAGTGGGAAAATTTGTAATTTAATATTTATATTTGGCTTTTAAGGAAAGTTTAATAGATTTTATACAAGATAATTTAATTTTATATATTATTACCTTTTCATAATGATATTTTTTCATCATAAAATCATTGAGGGTGCTAAGTTATTTGTTTATATTTTTCTCTGTGTGGATTTCTTTGACCAGTCCTCAGGTCATAAATGTTACACACACAGCCAGATGCGCATATAAATGAAAATGTTTGTTAAATTATGTGGGCAATATACGTTTATGCCTGTGTCAGTGTGCGCAATAAACGATAAAACATAAACTTAATATGCAAAGGCCACGCGAAAATAGCAACAGACGAAAAGTATGCTACATATTCGCCGAGCTTCAGAGTGTTTGCTTGGCGTGAATGCTTGAGTGTGTTTGTGTTTGTATGAATATATGAGTGTGTGCGGTGCCAAGTGAGCATTCTCTTTATCAATGCATAAACAAATGGTCATCAGCTGTGGACAAAGGATTATGGCAGGAAGGAAGATGGAAAAGGGATGATGGTGCCGAAAAAATAGGTTTCCCAAGTTGGTGGAATTCCCTGGCAGAGCCAAATTTTTCTGACTTGTTGAAATATTTTAAGGCTTTATTGTAGCTAAATTTAAGTACCTATATAATAATGAAATTTTATATTAAAATTATTATGGATCCTCATTTTGCTTTCCATAATATAAAAGCCTTGAAAACGAGTACTCTTTTTCTGTGAGTGTTCAGGAAAAAAAGCTAAACCTCACCAACATTGATAAGAAAGCTCAACAATAATATCCTGAAATTCTATTTTGTTTTACCGTTCAATCAACGCTGCAATAATGCCCCCTTTCGTCAATTTAACCCAATGCAAAGATATTTATTATTGGCAAGAAATTTGCATAAATCAATACATTATAATGGAATATAAGCGAGGCCATTCGCTTCACATGCGAACCTATGTACATACAAGGATGTGGGCTAAAAGGACGAGTGGTCGGTTGGTCGGGCAGTGGACAGTGACTGGGGAAATGGGATGGTCAATTGGAGAGCTGGACAATCGTTAATTCAGCCCTGTCAACGGTCTCGAGCTCGTTTACTCCCGGAAACCGTGCACTTGGACGCTAATGTATTGTCCTTTATGTGCTTTATCTGCTGCACTGCCCCACTTCATCATCATCATCATCACAGTGATCGTCGCTGTAGTAGTCGTTGTCGACATGGCCGGTTTCATTGTTGTCCCTCTGTGTCCCTCTGCAATTGCATTATGCGATATTTTCTGGTCGCTACTAATGCGACCTGATGTGAGTGGAAAAAGTTAGCACCGCACCACTCAACCGCATCGCCATAAATTTCAATTAGTGCGGATGCATTTGTGTATTTGCGTGCGCAAAATTTTGAATTATGAACTCTGGATTTGGCGAAACGGCTAATTGCTGATTGAGTTCTGGGTTTTGGCTGGATCTAGTTTGTTGGATCAACCAATCAATGTCTGATTGCTCTGTAGCCCAGCACAGACGAGAGGCAATTGGGTCACAATGTTGGTGGAAAATTGTGCGAACACTAAAATTACAGAGAGTAGAGGGGACTCAGGGGTATAGTACACGGAAAAAACTACACAGTTTTATTTTGTCATGTCAGGAAAATTATAGCAGAATTCCTTACATTCGTCTTTTTGTTCAAAATATGACACTTCTTTCATTAAATTTCAAATATTTATATTTAATATTTAAACCTGTTTAAAGAGTCCTAACAGACTCCCTGTTTTTCGTGTGAGGACTACTCCCTCACTCGCAGGCTGTCAGTGCCAAGTGGTTGCTGTCCTAACTCCAACAAATTATGAGCACAATAAAAAGTGGCAAGGGGCGACACAAACGAGTGCCACTACATGAGCGGGACAGCAACAAATGCAACACGCGACACTACACAAGTGGCAGGCACTTCCGGCCAGCAGATGCTTCACATCCACTTCCACTGCCAATGCCCTTGGTCCAGTTGTTACTGTTCCTGCTTTTGCTCCTTTCACTGCTCCTGTTCCTGTTCCTACTCCAGCTCCCCCTCCTGTTACTATTCCCCCTCTTTAAGCCTCAAGTGCTTGCTTGTTGGTTTTATGGGAATGTGTGAGACTTTCGCATTGAATTAACTTGAGTGGCCGGCGAACGAGGGCGTTCGTGTGGTCAGTGGCTGGCATTTATGGATCAGCCTGTCAGAGCTAGCACATTTGTCAAGTGTTTTCATTTACTGATGGATCAAGCTGGATAAGCAACTGCCATGCAAACAGCAAGGGGGAGTCTTTAAAGGACTCGTTCTAGAGGAAAATAGATAATCCACAGACGGATATAAATGTTTGTGTTTATGGTAATTCAGAGATCTAAATGCTAGTATTTATAAATGAAACCTTCATATATTCGTTTTTAAAGTTATGTATATATATATTTTTTTTTTAATATTTTGCAGTGCACAGCTTAAATTGTATTATAAGTGTTTGTGTCTTATCATTTTCCTTGGCAGGCTGCCAGACGCTAAAGTCAAGTTTCGCGATGCGTCGACTTTAAGGGCCCCGACCCCAGGAGTCATCAAAGAGAGATACGCCACTTGAATATGCAAAGCAGCCCGGGGAGAAGGGTTCGGCTAAGGGCAGGATATCTTTATGCCGGCTGGAGCACTTGTTGCTCCGTTTTTGCAGTGCGAGCACGAGTTGTTGGAAAGTAAAATTATTAAAACTTTTTGAATTAACAAAGCGCCAACAACGAGCTAAATGACGTCGACGATGTCCGCGCAAAAAGTGAATTAAAAGCGAATAAAAAGCGACAAAGTTAATTTATGCACAACTAGATACAAGCAAGGAAGTAGAGCGACAGAGTGGGATAGAAAGAGAGAATGAGAGGGAGCGAATAGTTGAAAATGTCGCTTGAACTGTGGAAACGGAAAACTGAACGCCATATTAGATTCAAATGCATTTCCCTGTCGGCCGACACCTCCCGTTTCCGGTGGTGCTGCGCGGTCCATCCCTTTTCCCAGGCCCGGCTTCCGCTTTCGCAGCCGGAAATGAACAGCAAACTTTTCAATTGAGTTTTCCGCCCCTGCAGTCGGCACAGGGCCACGATAAAGTTTTGGCATTATTTTTTGTTTATTTTCTTGTTGATCCATAAAACACAGTCGCAAAAGCAGCAGCAGCAGCACTACCAGTTGTGGGCGTGGACTTTTTGGCGGCGGATAAACTCCCTAATGGAGCCTAACATTCGGCGGGGGCAGTTAACATAAATTGACAACGGAGAACAAGGGCAGCGAAACGTTAATTAATTTGCGGACAAATCTTTTCTAGGACAACTACAAGGCCCTGTTAGCTCGCTAGCAATCAAAGCTCATAAATTCCAAACAAATTAAGCAGTCGAAACTTGGTCCCTAATCCAAGTCTCAGCTGGTGTCCAGCGGATGGTAATGATGGGTATTTACCAGGCAACCGGAAACAGGAAAACAACAGCAACAGCATCGACCGAAGACCCCCACACACATCAATGGCAATCATGAAAATTGGACAGCTAAGTTTGGGCCCAGAACAAAGGAGAAATAGGAAAAGGCCGGTGGGGGAAACGGAAAAAGGAAAAACAAAATAAAAGCAAGAGAAAATATATATGGTGTTTTCGGGGCCTACGGAAAGTGCCGACAAAGCGAACAGAAAATCAACAGAGTCGAGCAGGCAATAAACTGCCTGACAAATGAAAATAAAAGCCGGGCAGCAGGCGCTCGCAATGAGGAGCCAAAGAGCTACAAGATACAAAATACAACCTCCGACCTACAAGATACATTCTCTGCCAAAAGGCAGAGGCGAAATGAACAAGCAGCAGTTGATGTCCTTCCGTTGGGGCGCCAGATCTCCGAGCTTCGAGCTCGGCGCACATCCGCCGCTGGTCATTTCAATCAATTTACCCGTACACACTCATACACACACAGCAGCCAACACTCTCTATGGCCAGCTCCAGACGGATGAGCCCATACATGCTTGGCGTCTCATTTGCACCGAGGAAAAATGTCAAGTAGAGGTTGATTCACACCAAAATATATTCCAACTATACGGAAGATATTTCATAAAATAATAAAAATTCTTCACTTAAAGTCCACCAAATGTAAATTTATTCGTAAAGATTGAGGCAATAGCTTTCATATCGTTCTTCAGAGTTTTTCTTCTAAAGTGCAGAAGGGGTTTTTCCCTTAGAAAATTTTTAGGTTTTAGTTTCTACTAAAGATATTTTTGTACTAAAGATATTTACTAATATTTTCATTGACGAAATTACACTGATTTTTTCGTTGTGCAGGCTATATTTGACTTTTTTTTTTTTTAATAAATGTTCGGTGGGGAAACTGTGCTGAAATTCGCTAGCCGGAAATGGCAGCCATGACGGAAACGAAGACACATTGTTGTTGCGGCCCCGAGCGGCGAAAGCGTGTGTGTGTGTGTGTGTAAATGGTTAGACGCATGTATGTGGAAGAAGAAGAGGAAGAGGCGGAGAAAAGCTACATACATAAGCAGTTATTTGTCATGTAGCAAACTCTCAAAATACTTTATTCACACACACATACACTCGGGTACACTGTGCCGTGCAATACAAAGCAATGTTGGCAGCTCAGCAAAACACCGGAAGTCGTAAAAAGTATTTCAATTTAGTGCAAAACGTCCTTGCCACCTCCTCCATCACCTTCTCCGGCCGCCTCACATCTCCGGCTCTGCGCCGCTGATTGAAGACATGGCCAGTACACTTTTCCCCCTGGTTTTTCTTTTCTTTTTTTTCTTTGGTTGGTTCGCCTTTTCCTGTGATGTTTTTATGTGTGCCAGGTTTTTCCGACATAACCCGAAAACTGTGAGGCGGTGGCAACTATGTGGCGGTAGCACAGCATTATTGCATTAAAGCCATACGAAGGCATCGCAAGCTAAAGCTCAGGATGTCCAAGAATCCTGGCTTATTGAGAAAAAGTCGGGTAGTTTTTGTGGGGTTAAGTCTAGTGGGATTTTTTTATATACTTAATATTGGATACCACCTTAAATTAATATTAAACAAATGAAAATATTAATTACTTCAACAAAAATGTATCCTCTGCCAACATATATCATCATGTTAAATCCTTAACCAAACGAGTATCAGGATAGCCAGTGAAATTGCTTGAAATCCTCCAAGAGTCTCTATACGACTTGAGCTACTCCTGTAACCGCAGGCCTGTTGTTCCTCCTCACTGCCCACCCCAAAGGTGCACTCGTTGTCGTAGTAGTTCCCGTAAACAGCAAAGGTCAGCAGATTACTCAACTCCAGTGGTTCTCGCATGATAAAGCGTACCTCGTGCTGATAACTGTGCCGGGGAAGATTGCAAATGAGCAGAGATTTCAGTCTTAGGACAACTCACCTATTCTCAGAGGGCTTCTGCTGCGACCACTCGAACTGGCTGGGCTCCAGAGGGAGCAGATTGCTGAGCAGGGAGTTGGGACTAAGCAAAAACTCCAGCGATTCCGGGTAGATAACACCGATCGCCAGCCGTGTAAAGGTCACGCTAGTCTGCTGCTCCGCTCCCTCTGAACCCAGCAACTGTCCACAGTCCCCGATGGTGGGTCCAGAGCAGGCAAACAGCCCACAGTTGCGGATGTAGTTGGCGTCCATAGTGTCGTTGGTGCGCCAGCCGTCGTAGGTGCCCAGTCGGTAGCTGTAGTAGCTGCCGTTCTCTGCCACCAAGGATGATCTCCAGGCGATGTCGAAATGACAGCAGAAACTGCCCTGGCACAGAGTCCTGCTAACATTGCCGCTGGCTCTCTCGTCAAATTGCAGCAGCTCAGTCTCATAGTTTTCCACGTCGTCGCGTTTCATCAAGTAACTTGAGCTGTTGGCAACCTGACGAGGCGTCCTCGCTTGCAGTGCAGTCTCCCTTTTCGCTCGCTTTTGAACGGACCTGCTTCGTGGGTACTTTGGCACCTGCGCCACATAGATGGTTCGTTCTCCCAAGTCCTGCCTCATCACTCTGGTCAGGGCACCGCTGCGTCCATGGTAGATGCCGGATCCACTGTTGCCAATCAAAGGATTGCTGGCTCCAGCTGCCAGTAGGTTTACATCGTTGGAGTAGGCCCAACCTTCTTGGACTTGTACAGCTGGTGTCAAGAAATGGGAGACGGTTAGTTCCATTTAAATGCTATGATCAGGTGCCCCTCTGTCTCACCTGTGAGAAAAGGCAGCTGTGAGTACCACATGGCCGGGAGAACAAAGTCCGTGACACCCTGCTCTACGACAAGCTGGCGGGCTGGCGTGTAGAAAAGGATATCAAAGCAGATAAACTGGCCAAAGGTGACCCCAAAGTCCGTCTCAAAGGTGATCAATTCCGGAAGGTAGGTGCTGTTTTTGTTTTCACCTAAAACGTGCACCTTCCGGTAGCGGGACACTACGACACCTTGACGATCGAAGACCACATTGGTGTTGTAGGTATTGAGGCCATCGGGAGCACAGGGCCTGGTGTCCTCCGGCACATCCTTGCACCTCTCTTTTTCCGTGAGATTGATAACGACATACTTGCTGGCATTGCGTGCTGCACACGACAGAGTCACTAGGAACTCCTCATAGTAGGTGGCATTGGGATCAAATTTGGCGCAAAAAGTAAATATTTTTAACTAAAGAGATTTCAATTCAGTTCCATTACAAAACAATTTAACTTCGTTGTTCTACGCGATTAGGAGAAAGGTTTAACCACGTTAATCCGCGGCTTAAAGTCTCGCTGACCTTTTTTTCAATATCTTTGTCAATCCCGTCTGGATATCTTCCATTTTGTAATCCCATCTTGCTGGCAGCCCGTTTTGCTCCGGCGATTTCTTCTTGTTTCGCCTCAGTTTTAGCCTTGGTAATATATTTCAGAGACACGTCGCCTGCTCCCGAATCCCTGCCCGTGTATCCTGCTGCTGCTGGTATCCTTCTCCCTTCGTTTCGCCTTGCTGCTCCGTGACTTTTCGCGGCCGGCGATTCACACGTTCCGGCTGGGATAGTGGGGCCAATTTCAGGGTTTTCCTGGTCCAACACCAGATACTGCAACATTTTTATTTGGACGCTCCGTTGTCATTGGTTTCGGGGCCGAGGCAACGTGACTATTAGTGCGGCATTTAACGCCTTTAATGTTTCTGTGAGCTGCCCGAAGGCGCCCGGGGCACGTAGTTAGTATTCGGCAGCTGCAATCCGTAATACAAATTAATGATTTTCGACTCGCATTGACAGTGCTAAGACAAACAGAAACGAGAGTCGGATAACAAACAACAATCTGCCGTACATACATATGAATGTGTGTTTTCTTATTCGACAGCTTAGCAAAATATGCTGATGCCTGTTTGCAGCGCCGTGTGTCTACTCCAGGCCAATATAAATTGAATAGCTAAGAGTACACAAGATGCACAGGGGGGAAAAGGGTAGCAAAAACAAATGGAATTTCGATAAAAATAGCAAAATATACTTAAGCTAACTGAGGGATTTTTAAAGCAAATTGTATTTTAATATTTATTCTTTTTTTTTCTCTGAATCCCTTAAAGGAGAATTAAGATTTAAATAACCTTATAATATATAATTCTTAGATTATGTATTTTCCGAGTGCCTTGTTGTGTATATGCCAGCCTGTTGCTAAAATATCAAATATGCTCAACATGCCAACTAATTTTCCATTGTGATTTATCTTCATCAGGGCTTCTGGCTCCCTCTTATTGTGATTTCGGCATCGTTCGTCCATGATTTTAATTAATGCGTTGGATAAAATCTATTTGCAATATGACCGAACGACCGACTTGCCTCAAGCTTCAAATTAATGTCTGTGCTTACACTGACAGAAAGAATTTCTCCTCGTTCAGTCAACTGGCTTAAACGAGCACCAGCAGAAAACAGGATGCCTGGCAACGGTGCGTATGTGTGATCCGCAGCAGGTCGCGTACAATGAGCGAAACGTGCGGCTCGTTTGTCACGTGCGGAGTCAGTAAATTGCAATAAGCGCCACAGCAAGTCGAAATAAGTGCGAGGAAAGAAAGTCAGCGGTGCGAGAGTGGTTTATTTTTCACGGCAAACCAAATAAAAGTTGCGCATATCAAACGGAAACCGCCACAAGAGTTGTCCCATCAATTGCTGGCACCTTTAGCTGTAGGGGGGAAAAACAATACAATGTTATGTTTGTTTTTCTTTTAAAGCGGACTTATTGCAGGGGATTTTTTGTGACTTAGCGATGGCTAAATCATTGCGAAACCAAAATATCGGTATGGTGATTATCGATCGAGTTCTTAGACATTATTAGTACTAGTTTTAAAAACTAAGCTTAATTATTATTACATTTTAGGTATATCCTATCTTACTTAACAAGGAAATTAAATTAAAAAATAATTTTACTATATTTTATATATAATTCAAAGTCAAAGTAGCTTGTTTAAATAATCAAAAAATCACATTTCCGATATATTTACATAAGTACGCCGCTAGTATGGCTCCCGTTGCTAAATAATTCTTGAAGTATAATCTCAATCTTGGCAATTTCCTTGCTCTCTTCCCCAAAATAAGAAAAAGAAACAAAAGTTTCCTGCCAGCTCTCGTTTATCATTTCGCTCCGGCACGACATTCATTTCGGGTGCCTTGGCTGTTTGCACGTTTTTTCATTTGTATCTTCGGGAGGTGTCGTTGGCCCACATAGATTTAAGTGCTTTCTTTGCTGCCAGGGCTGTTGAAATAAAATTGAATTAATTTGCCATCAGGACGATACAATTTAATTATCAGCGGATACGTGATATCTGGGCACTTTCCGTCATGCCCAGTTAGCCGCTCATAGTTGCGGTTCATTCAGTTCGCATTTGTGCGCAAAACGTTTATAATTGTTATTGAAGACCATTAGCGCCAGCCATGCAAAACATTTTAAATCATGGACGGCCAAATGCAAGTGCTCCACACATAGTATGTGTTTTTTGCGATCATCTCCGTTCGAATGGCAACAAAAATAGCAAAAATCCAATTATGCCCAAGCACGTATTTTCCATTAAGCAAACAGCAAATGGCGGCCAGGCCGACAGCAGTCAGATAGCCACAAGCACATTATGGGCACAAGGTACTCCACAGTCCCGTTCTCGATTCCCATTCTGTTTGGGTTTATTCGAAAATTCCAGACAGATTGTCGGTTGGCATAGACTTGCTTTTGAATGGCTTAAAATAAAGTAAAGGATTATCATCAAATGGTTTAATCGGAAGGTATAACTGCAGAGAATATACAAATTTGTTAAAGTAAAAACCAAGTAAAGTAAAGCCATGAAAACATTGCAGAAAAATAATTTATGCTTTGGACTTTAAATTCTTATATTTAAATAAAATAGATCTAGAATTAGATAAAGACTTAATGCATTCCAAAAAATTCTCTATTATTTTTACTGAGTGACCCAGCATTAAAATCGTCTCTCAATGACTATCGCTTACTTTTTAAAAACAATTGCAAATGGGAACAGGTCTGATAGCCTCAGCCTTTTAATGAATCACAGCTTCGGCTCCTGCTGCAGTTCCTGCGCCGGTGGTTCTCCGTTTATTTCCAACAATTAAACCCATCAATGGCAGCGTCAGCTGATGCGCTTAAGCCAGCCTCGAGACCATTAAGCCCAGTTTGAATGCCGCGAATGCTGCGGAGGCTGGGAAAAAGCGGGAAAGGCAGGAGAGTGCCTCAGCACACATGGCAGTGCACACTTGACATTTCAATTTCCGCATGCACCCCGAGAACTCACAACAAAGGGGAGAAACAGAAACAGCAGCAGCAGCAGTAGCAGCTCGACAAAAGCAAAAAAAAAAAAAGAGGAGACTGTAGCCAATTCCATGCGGGCAACGTCGCAAAGTTGCTTTCAATTACCCAGTCAGGACACGCTTGCTGCCTTTTGTTTTTTGCATGCCCGGCACGCCCCCTCTATCAACCGCCCGCCGCCCACTCTTTACTCCACCCGCCGGCGACAGTTGTACAGTTCTTCAGTCTATTCACATTTTACGCTTTGTTTCTGGCCCCGAAACCATCGCTGACTGCCTGGCAATGCAGTTTATTAAGCTGGCAAAAGTTGAGGTAGTACTTTGGTTTATTAGGTATTTCGAAAATGATCTTGAAAATAATTCGAAAACTTAATTTTTAAAGGTTTTATGAGAGGTTTAGCTTAGGTATAAATGGGAGAGAATAGTTCTTAAATTTGGAATATAATGCACTGAGCTTAGTCACTTGCTTGAGTTTAATAATTACATTAAATTATATTTTTAAAATTATTTAATAATTATTAAAATATTTAAGCTGCTTAAGCGACTATAAAAAAGCCAATTCGGTGTCACCGCTAAGAACCCTGATATCACCTTAAGCTTATAGCAAGTAAGCAGAGGGAATGCGTTGCCAGGAAAGATGGGGAAAAGAAAAGGGATAAGAAGGAGGAGGAGAAGAAGGATTGCAGGTGACCCGGCCACTTCAGTAACTTGAAGTGGACAGGGCGAAAAGCTGTCAAGTGGCATTAATAACAAAAGCCATCTCCAAGATACGGGATAAGCAGCAGTGCGCACCTTAAAGTATGCAGCACTTGTGTCCGCTCCACGGCCCGGTTTTTGCAGCCGGATAAGCTTTCGATCCGATTGGCGAGGAGAACGACGACTCGACGACTCGACGACTCTGAATTATGCTAATTTACTTTTATCGCTTCGCCGGCAAAGTCAATTTAATTGTAATTTTCCAACGCGCAACGCATTTTAGTTTCACTTCCGCCCGCACTCGCCTTTTCAATTTCAGAACGGCCCGGCGCGTCTTGCATTTTCATGAGATATAATTTAATTTGCCTTTTCCACTTCGACGTCCACTTTTCAAACTTTGCTTTTGCCACTTCCTTTGCCGGGGCTTAGTGTCCGTCTATCTAACTGTCTGTGGCTCCATTTTCATGCTTTTCCACCGCCGTGTATCATTTGGAAATTCAAAGCTCGTACTTTTTTCCCTCATTATTGAAAGGGCGAAGACTCGACTCACAAAAGGCAACGGAAAAATATATAAAAAAAAACCCTGTAGGGGGGGCGAACGCATAAAACTGCCATGGAAAGTAGCTGGCAGCCCGGTTCTTTGCAATAATGCGATTGGGGGCGCGAACTGCCACGCTTTGCCGGATTCCGGACTCCGGACTCCGGTCTCCTCTCCGCCGCACCCATCCGGTCCAGTCTGGTCCGGCCGCGTCCAGTCGCATCCGCCTGCGATGCCACTGTCTAAGTGGAAAAAAGGTTTTGTCACGGCTAAGCACTTTTCAAATTCACAAGGGTCGCCCCCAAACGCCAGCGGCAGCTGCTGTCCGTTGTCGGGAGTCCGAAGTCCAAGGGCCACAGGCCACAAACCGCGAAGAGGCTTTCGTCTCGGCATGTTTTTTTAATAGTCTGTGTGTAGGAGTATATTGAATTTTTAGATTTGGGCCAGAAAAGTAGAAAATGTTTCATATCTCAGATGATTTGAATAAGCTTTATAATACTATTTTAAATTTATATTTTAGAGCCTATTAAAATTTGTGTCTTGACAATTAAATACTTATAATAATTTTACAAGTTATAATGACGAAGAATCATTAATAAAAATACTTTTAATAATCACTAATCGGTATTTTTAAGTCGATACTTCTCAGCTTCCTTTCTTATTTCATTCGATTTCAATGTTTTATACACAATTTTTATGGCTAACAGCGTCGCCGTTGGCTGGGCTGTAAAGTTTTATCATTATAATTGCAACAAACTGAGTACTCCGGCAGCTATTGAAACATCTGGCCAAGGGCTAATGATACAACAATCTAGTGCGACTTAGGGGATAGTCGGCCGCCGCCCTAAAGTGTTCGTAGGGCGAAACTTTAGTAAGCCAAGTAAAGTTGTTCAAGTTTTTTGGACTAAAGACTTAAAAAACAATAAGAAAGATTGGCTACTATTGACAGACTAATGCCTGCCTTGAAACGATAGTTAAAGCAACAACTGAAAAACTTTGGCTTGATTTGTGTTAAGTTTCCTCTCTAATTATCTTGCGAAACTTTTCGGCTTTCAGAGCTTCG